TGCACAGCTGTCTACCTGCGTGTCAGGTGCAAGGCTGGAGCTCTAGAGATGCTGTGCTTGCAGTGGTACTTGTAAGATTGGACCTTCTTGGTTGTGCTTCTTTTGGAGGCTGAAGAATCCAGTCTGACATAATTTAGAAGTCCTGGGAGCCTGTCTAAATTACATTTAACTACTGTCTGGTTGCCCTCTAGGCTATAACACTTCAGTGTCTTTGCTGTACTCTATAACACCATTCTCTGTGCTCCCTTTTCTAGTTCATTTACCTCCCTCAGGAGGGCAACCTCCTTGTTGTCTACAACAGTACATATCCCAAGGAATCTTCTTTTGACAAGAACTTGGACTTCTTAGGGCCTTGTTACACATTAATTTTAGGCAGCTCGGGGGATTGTCTACACATTAGGACATGTAAACCAAGTTTAACCATCCTTTAAGCATCTTAAAGTTATGCCACTCTGGGGCAGATTTATCTCTGATCTGTGTTACCCAGCTCATATTCCAGGAATGAGTGGCCACTCCTCAGAGATAAGTTGACCAAATTTCAGTTCTCCTGCATCTCAAGATATTGTCTTCCCCCCACCCCCTTACCTTCCTGTTCTGAATGGGTAAACTTTCCACCCCTTGAACTTTACTGCACAGAGGGTGGTAATGTTACCAAGCCAATTCCTCCTCCCACCACTGGGGGTGTGACCTGGCCAGGCGGCTCTCAGGGGGCACAGACTGGTCTGGAAGGGAGGGTAGATGGGAGAGCAAGGTAGGGGACCAGAGTGGGGTTCCCATGAGCTGGGGTTTTCCTCCCGAGGCAGGAGCATTGTCCTCATTAGTTGGGACTACCGAATCCCAATCCCAACCCTAGTTTAATAAAACACAAAACTCTCACTAATTTACTTACTCTTTATTACTTTTTAAGTTCTTTTTATTTTATCCTTTAGTGGCTTCAGTGGCTGACTTCCTTCATTTTACTACCCTGCCCCCAGCTGCTATTCCCACTCATTTCCTCTCCATTTCACTACCCAGTACCCATCATTAAACTCTCCACTTTCTAGTCTAATACTCACGCCCCTGCCACCTCATCTCTCCAACCCACCTCCACCAAAAGCAAGGATAGAAGCTGGTTTTGGTCACCAGCCTTCTAGTGGCAACTCACAGCTTTAGCTCCTAGTCGGGACCCTTCTCGCCCGCCCTTCATAGCAGGTCACAGCTTTGCAGGTTGAGGACGGTAAGAGAAGGTTTTTAGCCCAAATGTGTGACTGCTCTAAATTTGAGCCAACAGTAACACTGATGAACATTTGAGAAGCTTAAATTGTAATGTATAATAAAGCCCTTATATTACTCCAGTTCTTTTGACAAGCATAACATGGTAGGATCACAGCTGGGGATTCACCCTAAGAAGTATAATTCCTTAGAATTCTGTTTTATTGTTTTTCAAATGTACTCACCAACTGCCTTCAATAACGTTGTTCCAAAGTATAAGTGGGCATTCATGATTTGACTTGATTGCTTACTATGCTGTCAGACTGTAGCTTTCATTCCTGTGGAAGCTTCATTTACAGCTGTTACCTTAATGTTTGTTCCAAGAGTTGAAAAATAATTAAGATGCACTTACAGAAACGTAGGGTAATGCTTGCAGTACTCCAGTCTTGGAAAACTGAAGAAACCAGTTTATACTTGCATCTACTGCACTAATTCTACCTGCATGAGAAACACAAGGACACCTGTATTATCCTACATTTTTATGCCTGTATTAGGCTTTACCCTAAATTTCTGTAAGTGCATTTTAACTATTTTTCAACTCTTGGAACAAACATTAACACAAGGACACTTTTGTATTATGGTGTCTGGCTAATGAAAACACCCCAAACTCTTACCATCCAGATATTCACCAGATTCCAAAAGTTGGTACCCTTAATGGCAGGTATGTGAGCATTTCTTAGTGGAAAATGACTTTGGGATCTGTAGCCTTAGAGAGAGAGTTTAGACTTCATATGCCTAGATACTGAGTGCCCACCTCACCCTTGTAGTGTGAAATAAATATGTTTTTTATTGGTGCAGACAAATAAAAGGCGCTTTATATGTTTCCATCTAGGTATAATAGCTGCTTTGCATTGTTTTATAAAATATAAGTCATTTTTTACAGGGACAAGCAATGGCTCCGTCTTGGTGTATAATCTTACCAGTGGACTGCTACACAAGGAGTTAAGCATTCATTCCTGCGAAGTCAAGTAAGATTTTTTTTCTCTTTAATTCTTACTAATCCTTTTGGGAGATGAGAATTAAAGTATTTAATGTTCTGCAAGCAGTATAGGCATTTTGTTTCATCATTAATGACACGCAAGAAAATTACCCTATTGAGCAGTCTGCTCTAGCAAATCGTATCTCTGCTGTGCAAAGCAGTAACTCATTGTGAAAATTAGACTGGAAATTGCAGTGAACTATAAATATTTGAATTGGTAACTAATGTGCCTGTTGATCTAGGATGAACATTAGCTGTTTGCATTTTCTCTAGAACATTGTAGCACAGAGAATTCTTTTTAACACGAGAAACTTTATTACAGTGTCTTGTTTATATAGCTATTATGACTCATGGGTTTTTTCCCCCCCCCTTGGAAATAATAATGTTGTTTGTTAAGGTTTTTTTTAATTACTATTTATATGAGGCTGAGACTGCTGGTGATAAAATTTCAACAGAAAATGATTTATGAGCCGTTGTATTTTGATTGAGATTTAGAACTAAATACATTATGTAGTATTTAGTTTTTTTAAAATAAGGATAATAGGGCAAGGGCACCTAAACAAGTTGCTGTGAGGTAAATGAGGACAAGGATTTATAGAATGTTATTACTACCCTGTGATAATAGCCTACATATGCTACTTTGTAATTTATTCCCCTGGCTTGTCCCTTCAAGGGAGTGTGAGTCAGCTTTCATTTACTGTCATAAGAGCATGGATGTGGGCAGTTACTGCAGAATATCTGACAGGTGGTAAATCTATGTCTTCATTAACTTTAGGGTAACATGTTCATGTGTCCAAACACATTACAGGGTCCACAAAGCTGGTTGAGTCTGTCTGTCTTCATGCATATGTGAGATATAATAAATATAGTCATATGAAGAAGAGTAATGTCTTATCTTGTTTTTTGATAGTCAACCAATTCCAGGGTCCATTCAAGAAGTAAAGGGAATGAAATATTATTTTTATAATGAAGATATATATTTTTACATTTGTGTGTGTGTGTGTGTGTGTGTATATATATATATATATA